GGGGAATGTTGCAGCCCTCCTCACTGAAGCAAGCAAGCCTCATGTTCAGTTTAAGCTTCCTGGCTGCCAGCCGCCATCTTGGCTGGCAGTTAATTTGCATATCACCCTGATTAGCCAATGGGAAGGGAAGCGGTCGTACGCCAATTACCATGTTTCTCTTTTATTAGATAGGATGTTTACTTTGAATTTATATTAGTTCACACAAACACTCCATCCATGCTTTTGTTCCGGCCCTCCGGTCCAGTTTAAGAACCCATTGTGGCCCTCGAGTGAAAAAGTTTGCCCACCCCTGACCTAGACTGTTGCCCAGGATTCTAGCCTGGGTAACTAACTGATTAGAAAGTAGCCATTGCAGAGCGTTAAAGGAACAACAGACTTGAAGAAGGGTAGAGAGGGAACACAGGGAAGATAATTAATTCAGCCTGGATCTATAGGTTTGGAATTCCTGTTGGACTTCCAAGCGGAGATCGTGAGGGCAGTTGGATATTGAATCTGCAGTTCAGGAAAGAGGTCTAGGCCAGATATATGCATGTGGGGATCATCAGCATGTGTGTGTGAAGCCTGGGGAATGAATGAAACACCCAAGGAGAAAGTGCAGAATGAGAGAAGATAGCTCAGGACAGAACGAAGAGCCTTGCCAACATCTAAAAGAGGAAAGAGGTAGCAAATGAGATGGAGAAGGAGCCAACACTGCCAGGAGAGAAACCAGGAAAATGCTTGAGGGCGAGTTGACAGGGTCACTGAATGAATACTATGAAAAGGTGAAGGAGAGAGCCCATTGGGGATGGCCACATGGAGGTCTCCGGTGACCTTGGCTTCAGCAGTTTCCGTGGGTGAGTGACACAGAAGACCCAGTAAAGCGGCTTTAAGAGTGAATGGGAAGTGAGGCAATAAACACAGCAGGTGTAGACAAGGTTTCGGCTTTGAAGAGTGGAGACAGAGGGTCCGGGAATGCAAAAACGCACAGGCAGAATCAAAACCGCTTCGGAATAACCTCCGAATTGGCTGTGGGAGAACCGCTCCTACTGAGTGGCCCTGTGCGCGCTAGGCCTCCTGGCCGCGCTGGGGACACAGCCGGCCCCCGGGCACTCTGCTCGGTCGCTGAGAACGACAGAATGCGGCCTGACAGATTGCAGGCCCGGGACACTGCAGAAAACCCGCGGCCTCTGCCTACCTCGCTGCACCTCCCCTCCCCAGTCCTTGACCTCCCCTCCCCCCACGCCCCATCCCCCACCGTCCCTCCCTTCGCGTCCCCCTACACTCGCCCCCTATTCCTCCCGCAGGGGCAGGAGGTACAGGTCGGGGAGGGGCGGTGTGAAGACCGAAGTGGAATCTACCGGGAGGAGGAGGTAGTG